TCAACTTTCTTTGCTTGATGAGCCTCTGTGGACCTATGCCATCTAAACGGCTTCAGCATTCCTTCTCCAGTCACCTTCGAAGCCTGAACACACTCGATTATTTTTGACAACAAAGTTTACCCGTAACGTATTAATCTCAAGAATCTAGTCAGTACAAAATAATTGCGTGTCATCACTAGTAACTTGTACCATCCGCACGAGACCAGTAACATGATCGCGTCGTATCCATGACACGCCCTTGGCTGGCAGAGGGGCTATCAGATCCGGGAAGCTTGCTGGAGAGGCTTCTGGAGATGTAAATAAAATGAGAATGAATTAATTAAACAGCCATAATGTCTATCGTGCTTTACCTAACGCAGTGACGTGCTGTCATAATCTGTCAATTGTGGCATGTCATATACTTTTAGCTGTTGCATGTCATAAACTTGTTGAGAAACTTGGTGAAAAGTTTCGAAGATGGCCACCTCCTGAGAGCAGTAGCGTGAGCAGTTATACTGCCGGGTGATTCATAGCAACAGTCATGTGAAACTAACACGAAGTGAGTTCGAATGCGAGTTGCTATGATCAGGAATATATATTCTACTTACTCTCTAATCCTTCTCTCGTGCACAGGTCATTCCAAATAAACAAGATATGAGCCCAAGCGACGGGTCTAAGAATTTTGTCGGTAAGGAACGAACACCCCCGACCGGAGGAGTCGCTCACGAAAGGAGCGACGCTGACCAGGGACGTCACTATCCAACATGGAGCGCGTGCCCGCAGCACTCACGCGGTTGGAGACGCGCATGGACACTACTGAAAGAGCTAGTGTAAGTGCTAAAACGGTTCGCCTGCTTGCCACGCATGCAACATGCACAGCCTGGGCGGCGAGCGGATGGGCGCAACGTGGCGCAAGCGGCATTCGCGGGAAGCGAATTTCGTCGCGCAATTGATGGCGGCAGTGCACTTGGGTGCACGTCAATGCATATCGACGAGCTATCCGCTATGGGACCGTTTGGAGCGGGGAATTAATACCGGCGCGCCGAAGCACAGGCGCGGGTTAATCAAGGTGCGGAGGAGGTACAAGGCGCGTTGCAAGCACAAGCGGCATCCCAAGCGCAAGCAGCGTATGGAGTTCAGGCGCATCATCAACCAGAACCGCCCCCAGCGCCGTACGCATACCTTGGCTGTTTGCTGGGGCTTGGTGGGCACCGCGTGCCCAACGCTCGAGACTCAAAGTTGATGATCGGAAAGTTCAGCGGAGTGGAGCAATACAAAGTACTGGGAAGTGAATTTCGCCAGTGGGCGCTACTCTCCCTTGAGGTCATTGAGATGTCTGAGCTCGGGTCCGTATACCAGTGGACTGAACGAGTTAAGGCGAACAAGCTCCAGCAGCATCTGGAGAGAACGGCCTTGCAGGATTATCAAGCACACATTGAAGAATAGTGGATGCGTAACTAAAGTATCGCATACCTGCTCGGGAAGCTGTGGCTTGTTTGCAAGGTGAACATCTCCCATCACCAAGCTGTGCACTTGTACGGGGAAAAAAGGACAGCTCGCGGTCGTAGACCAAACACCTGTTATATCTCACGGCGCTCATGCATTTTTTCGAGTGAGAGTAGCGAAAAACTTGAACTTGAAAGCGTCGTGAAGTACGCTACGCCACACATGAAGATTGCGATCATGGAATAATATGACCCAGGTCGCACTAAATACCTTTACTGTAATGGGCCACATTACACACATAACTTTAACATAAATAAACAATTGCATATGTAGGCAGGTGCTGTGCCCGAATAGCGGGCACAGCGTGGCAATTTATATTGTTTTATTTTTGAGGCCTAAAGTCCCAATATGGACCAATGATAAATTAATCTGACTAATGTGTGGTTCCCGAAAGACGGGAACACTGTCGTATTTATTACGACTAAAATCTTCGTAATTAGTACGAATTAAAACCAAAATAAATATCAGAGTTAAATTTACTTAATACCTAATACTTGGGCTTGAGTCTTCCTCAAGCACGCGTGTGAGCTAGTGACGGTACGTTCTAGCCCCGCTACAAAACCATGTACAAAAACTCGTGGCATGGGCGCAAGAGATCGAACCGCCCGATAAAGAATCACGTAAAGGGCGTCGTAAAAATGTAGTGGGTGAAACGACAAAAATGTTTTGCGTGTGGAACACCCGGCCACATATGCAGAGAGTGTAATGGGGTACCCTCCGACTATACTGATATCAGTATAGTCTACCTTCACTGATGAGGTGCCTCAAAATCTCTCTTACACAAGAGGCAGAGGAAGCTTTACTTCTAAACAACACGCTTAGAAGTAGGGGAAAAGAGAACTGTATCTTCCATATAATAAAATAATTGTGTCCGTCCGTCCGTCTGTCCGTCCGTCTGTCCGTAGTGCTCCTTTTCCGGCATTCGGATTGGCTAATTTTACATTATTGGCTAATTTTGCATTAACTGATTTTGCATTTTGCATTGATATAATACCCCAAGCAGATTTGCATAACATAATATAAATTATCCTAGGTGTTCGTTTCCGTACTTTTTTATACAATACGTCGACGGAACGATGGGTACACATCTCCATCATTACATATTGCTATATCGAACACTTTTTTATTATCTAGATAAGACACATGCTTAAGATTAGCTTCAAATACATGAGTTCAGCGTTTTATTTATACACCAAAAAATAGCAAAGCAAGCGTTGTCATCAGGCTGAACTGGATTCAGTTCCAATAAGTGAAGTCACCCCATGTATTGCATCATACATATATTTTGCTAAAGTAAATTGGATATTCTATATTAAACGATGGTTACAATATAAAATGGAATTTATCAATCAAGTTAATATAT